AGCGAAGGCTCGGCTGAGGGACCTTTGAGACCCTCCTCCTCACAGAGCTGTTTCCTTTTGCAGTTCAGCAACACATGATGACCCATAATAAAAATACTAGTTGTAATGAGTTTTTTTAAATCAATTTCTTGATTCTATTTCTTTTTCATGGAGCTGGGGGTTGAATCCAGGTCTTATGCCTGCAAGGCAGGAACTCACCATTGAGAAATCCTTCCAGCCCCTATTTCATTAGTTTACTTCAGAGAATGAAGAAATGCAAAGTCACTGTGTGTAGTTTTACTGACATCATCATTGCTAATCACCTGGCTTTCCTCCACTACCATTATGTACCAGGGGCTGCTCTGTACAACCCTGGCACAAATTCTGTGTGTGTGCGCGGTGGCGGTGTGATGTGGTATGTTTGGGAAACCCATGTCACTACTCAGGGGTCACTCCTAGTTCTGCATTCAGGAATCAATCCTGGCAGAGTGTTTAAGGGACCATATGGGATGCCAGGGTCTGAGCCTGGGTTGACTGCATGCAAGGCAAATGCCTTACCTGCTGTACTATCTCTGCAGCCCCACAAATTTTCTCTTTTCAGAGTAACAGTATCCCCGTTAGGTATGCAAAATTCTCCTCCATTCACAAGAACACTAAGTGTTGCGTGAGTATTCTTTCGATCAGAGGTGCAGAGGCAAGACACACAAGAGGAATGTAGAGAGCACGGAGGGCCAAGGCATCCATCTGGCTCGAGGCAAAGAGCAACTTCCAGAGGCCTCCTTTTATTCTATTTTTATCAATTATATCCTAATGACTTCATCACAGAGAAAGAATCACTAACGAGAGTACAAACAGTTATAGGATAAGCATTCATCAAAAGAACATCAGGGTATACATTGTCTTGTCAAAGCTACGTTGTCAAAGCTATGTTGCAATTTAGGATATGTACTGTCAAAGCAAGCACATATGAAAGCTATGTTGTAATGATTAAAACGTCAGAGGAAGATATGGAGCTGGACACATAGGCTCTACAGATCATGTCCCCACATTCTTGTGGTCGGTTACACATAGGGCAAAGAGAAGGCTCATACTGATACTTGAAGGTCAATCCAGGTTAAGGATGTGTAAGAGAAGGGGAAACTGCTGCCTTGGACTGCCAAGATAAGGTATGACCAGGCGGGTGTATGAGAGCATGCTGTACTTCTCCAGATCATCGGATTCATAAATCTTAGCTTGTCCACTTAATGTAAAAGTAGGGCCTTGCCGAGCAAGTGAAAACAGGGATAGATAAATGGGACTATCTTAAACTAAGAAGCTTCTGCACCTCCAAAGAAACAGTGACCAAAATACAAAGACAGTCTACAGAATGGGAAAGGATATTCGCCGAATACACATCTGACAAGGTGTTGATATCCAGAATATACAAAATACTGGTTAAACTCCACAAGAAGAAAACATCCAACCCCATCCAAAAATGGGGCAATGAAATGAACAGAAACTTTCTCAAAGAAGAAATCCGAATGGCAAAAAAGCACATGAGAAAATGCTCTACATCATTAAACATCAGGGAGATGCAGATCAAAACCACAATGAGATACCATCTCACACCTCAGAGAATGGCCCACATTCAAAAGAACAAAAGCAACCGATGCTGGCATGGATGTGGCGAGAAAGGGACACTCCTTCACTGTTGGTGGGAATGTCGACTGGTTCAGCCCTTCTGGAAAACAGTATGGACGATTCTCAAAAAATTAGAAATTGAGCTCCCATTTGACCCAGCAATAGTACTCCTGGGAATATATCCCAGAGAGGCAAAAATGTATAGTCGAAATGACATCTGCACTTGTTTGTTCATTGCAGCACTCTTTACAATAGCCAGAAACTGGAAGAAACCTGAATGCCCAAGAACAGATGACTAGTTAAAGAAACTTTGGTACATCTACACAATGGAGTACTATGTAGCTGTTAGAAAAGATGAAGTCATGAAATTTACATACAAGTGGTACAACATGGAAAGTATCATGCTAAGCGAAATGAGTCAGAAAGAGAGGGATAGACATATAAAGATTGCATTCATCTGGGGGATATAAAGTAACAAAATATGAGATTAATACCCAAGAATAGCCGAGATCAGCACCAGGAGGATTACTCCATAACTTAGAGGCCAGCTGGGCATTCTAGGGGAAAGGGCAGTTCAGATAGAGAAGGGAGCACCAAATAAAGGGTGTTAGGAGGATCCTCCCAGGAGGGGAGATGCATGTCGAAAGTAGACTATGGACTGAACATGTTTGCCACTCAATGCCTCTTTTGCAGAACACAACACCCAAAACGAGAGAGAGAACACAGGGGATTGCCCTGCCACAGAGGCAGGGGGAGATGGGGGGATGGGGGGGGGGGGGATATTATCCATGGTGGTGGAAAATGGGCACTGGTGGAGGGATGGGTATCTGATCATTGTATAATCGAAACCCAAGCACAAAAAATAGTAAATCTACAACTGTACCTCATGGTGTTTCACTAATAAAAAAAATTTTTTAAAAAAAGTAGGGCCTTGGTTCTGCTTCCTGCTTGCAGGGCAGGGCCCAGAGGCTCTTCCTAATGTCCTGGCTTAGCACCAACAACTAAGTATTTTGACACAAATCCCTGTGACTTAGGATGTCAGGACCAGATCTGAACTCAGGATTCTGTGATCCCTGGGCCTTGCGCTTAAGTGGATTGCAATTAAGGTCTGATTTCTGTTCAGGAGAGGTGAATGTCGAAGGTTTAAGCGCATGAGTGAGTCATCAGATGGCTTCCTGCCCAGTTTGCTCAGTGTCAGCACCCTGGACAGCGACCGGGGTTGAGGGACCATCTGAGAGCAGGGCAGTGGGGAAGGGGGAGTGGATCACCACAGCTTGTGAGCCCCTCACACCGTCCCCGACTTTCAGCCCTCAGAGTACAGCAATTGGAAGCTCGCCCACAGCCCCACGCTCCTGAGGTGCTGGGGGTGTTCCCATCCATGCGGATACCCACCAGCTTTGTGCTCTCGCAGCTCCCACTGCTGAAAGCCCGCTACTACTCCATCAGCTCAGCAGCCGCGCACGTGCCCTGTGAGCTCCACCTGACCTTGGCCGTTCTCACGTACCACACCCAAGGTGAGGCGGCGCCAGGCAGGCTCCCCCGGGGTGGAAACATGTGACTCAGGTGTGAGCAGGGCGCTGAGCACACCTGGGTGGCTGCTTTTTGGGGTGGCTGGAGATGCTCCTGGGGGAGGAAGTGGGTGCAGAGGTCATGCTCAGTGTTAGTAAGTGAGGAACCCAATCAGACTCATCGTTCTGCGGGGCAGCGCATGCCCGCAAGGAATATTGTTCAAGGATTGGGGTCGCCTGTGTGGTGCTGGGCATAGCACCCAGTCATCTGGCACCCAGCAATGTTTCCTGTTTGGAGCCTGGTGCATGTAAGGCAAGACCTCTGGCCCTGAACCCCTACCCCACCCTGAGTCTTGGCCTCCCTGCTGAAGTTCTTTTATGTTGTTTGAGGGCTGCACATAAGCTGCAGTGGGATTTGGGGGCTCCTCCTGGTATGGTGAGACTCTGCAGTGCTCGGGGGACCACGTGGTCCTAGGGATCATTGCATGGTCCTTTGCAAAGCACACACTCTAGCCCATTTGGGCTATCTCCGCCCATTTAACTTCTGCATCCCTCTTGATTCCAGGATATTTGAATGAGCTGTACTGTGTAGAGTTTGATCTCAGAGAAGCTGAGAGGTTTTGAGGCATCCTCCTAGTTCAGCTCTAGTTTGGGGTGACTCCAGTGGAGATAGCTCCTCCCCTCACACCTCAGCGGGGCCAGTCCTGCCTTCTGAGCTTCTAAAAAGGGGATTATGGTGCATGCCTTAAGTGTAATTGTGGAGGACCAAGCCCCCGTTCTGATCTCTCTCTCTCTCTCTCTCTCTCTCTCTCTCTCTCTCTCTCTCTCTCTCTCGACGAGAAGATTCTCACAAACATAGGAGAGCAAAACTGAACTGACCACACTTCTCAGAGTTCAGGATCAGAGATACATCTCCTGCCTGAGAGAAGTAGGCCAGACTTGCACTTGCGAGGGGATCAGCAAGGGCCGGTAGGGAGTCAGCGGTGCCTGCATTTGACTTGGCGTCATCTGAAAATGGTCCCTCCCAGCAGCAGCTGCAGCTCCTGAGAGGGCTGGCAGGGAGTGGGAACCCCAGCCTCGGCTGCACCCACCTTGCTGTCACCACCACACAGCAGGACCCCTTTCCCTGGTCAAACCACACCGAGGCCAGTTTCCCACCAGCACCCACTGCTAGGCACCCCCAGCCAGCCCTCTCGAGATGTGGACCCAGTCCTCAGTCTCTCCAGAAGCAGAGCCCCTTTTCTGGGCTTGCCAGGTCCCAAAAGTCCCGCCTCAGATTCTAGCCCAAGAGGCCCAAGTCTGGTTTGGATCCTCCAGGGGGGCATGGGGGCCCCTTGGAGTGTGTGGGCATCAGAACCCCCCACTCAAGCAAGCTTTGCTCCTCCCAGCCCCACATTGACCTTAGTCAGGATTCCCCCCAATTCCAGGTTCCAACATGTCCCTGAGAACATTTAATCAACATTTAATTAATCTCCCACACCTATTGTGTCAATAAGCATTTTCTTCTTTTATTTGAGAGTCTCTGGGAAATGGGAGCCTCCCTGCTGGGAGATTCTGTCAGTGAGGAGATGAAGGGAGCCCCATCCTGGGACTTGAGGGGGGAGGAGCATTGTGGAGAAAACAGCTGTTGGTTTAGGACTGAAGTGGGGTCAGGGGGATCATCGGTGCAGGTCTGTGGGGGGGACACTCCCCCTCTACAACAGGACTGAACTTGGGCCTTCACCTGCACAGACCCCTCTGCCGCCCTCACTGCACCCCAGTATTCAGTGGGTGAAGTGGGGCCAGAAAAAGAGGTGAACCCGTAGAAATAGCCCCGCTCTTAGACAGGCTTTGGGGTGCTGGACTGGTCTTGGGGCAGGTGGGCTGGGGAGATGAGTGGCCAGGGGTCCTGGCTTATGTTTGCACATGGCTCAGTTGGACATCACCCCCGACTTCCAGGTTGTTGATGCCAGGCAAATACGCCATGCGGTGTTTGTACTCAAACAGGTGCTGGCCGTTCACCGCCACCTTGAGACAATGGTTCTCACATAGGATCCGCACCTGTAGGGAGTCGTGGTGTGAGCGCTGCCCGGGCCCCACACCCATGCTCCAGCCAGGCTCCACCCACCCCCCACCCCCTGCCTGCTCTGCTCCTTGTCGCGGAATGCCCTGCTGCCTCGAGCCCCTGCTCTATAATCCCAGGACTTGCCCCACATGACCAGCCTTCCCAACTCCTGAGCCTGTCCCAGGACAGCCAAGTGCCCCCTGATCATGACCCTGCTGCCATCCTCACTCTCCTCCTGGCCCCTGAATCACAAGGGGCAGGAATGCTGGCTCGTGCCATTCATGCCCCGGGCACTGGCACAGGAGGTCTTGGCTCCTGCCTGGAACCTAACATCATCGGGAGGGGGGGGGTCCCTGGGGCAGTCAGGACCACCTGGGAAACATCAGCATCCTTTTGCCATGGCAACAACCTGCAGCACCACCTGCTGGAACTTACTACGCAAATTAAAGGGTCCTCTCACTTTGCTCTTCCATCTCAGTGATACGCAGAGGATGGTACGAGAAATTGAGGCATGGAACAGGTAAGGTACTTGCTCAAGGACACTCAGTTACCTACAAATATGCTGCACTCTGGCTTGGAACATAACCCTACAATATAGGGTTCACTGTAGGACCAGGAATTGATCCCCAGGTCGCATGTGTGCAAGTCAAGTGCTCTGTTGCTGAACTACACCTATGGCTCACAAGAACCAAACTCCTTTCCTAAGCCCCCAGTGCCCCTGAGCAGTCATTTCCAACCCCAGGGACAGACCTATTTTAAGTCACGCATCCACAGGTGTGCACACTTCATTGGCCAGGTGTCTCCTTTCTTCCTTTCCACACCCAGCTGTGATCAAAGATCATTACCGGTGGGGCTCAGGAATCACTCCATATATGGTGTCAGGGATAGAACCTGGATTGGCTGTGTGGATGCAAGCTCCTTACTCCTGCATCTCTCTCTCTCTTTCTCATTCTCTCTCTCTCTCTTGCTCTCTCTCTTTCTCTCTCTCGCCTTTTTTTGCTTTTTGAGTCACACCTGGCAGTGCTCACACAACTGGCTCTGTACTTAGGAATTATTCCTGGCAGTGCTTGAGGGCCCATGTGGGATTGAACCCAGTTGAGCCACGAGTTGGCCGCCTGAAAGGCAAACAAAGCCTGACTGCTCTGTTCCCTGGAATATCTATGTTGAGTGATTTGAAGGTGTGGTGAGGGCTGGGCTCACTCTCCTCCTGCAAGCCCTGGCCTGGTAGGCAGGTGGACCCTAACACCTGCACGTCCCTAACACCTGCTTCCTGAGGCCTGTTTCACAAGCTCCCTGGTTCCCCAGAGAACCTCCTAGAGCAGTGCCCTGGGCCCATGGTTCTGTTTTGCTTCCTGCAAAGCACCTAACCCTCCACATGTTTCTGGTTCTCCACCTACACTATGAAGGAGGTGGGACAGGACCTCCAGGCTACCTGCACCAGGGGGCCATCCTGCCCACCCCCCTTCAGGATAAAATAGCTAATGAGTGGCTGGAGGGAGCTGAGGTGACAGGCTTTGCCCGCAGGAGACCTGAGTTCCATCCCCAACACTGTGTTTCCCTGCATACCCCCAGGAGCAACCTATGAGCACAGAGCCTGGTGTAGGCCTGGAGCACCACCTGGGGCGGTCCAATTCCCTCCCTCCCCCACAAAATGCATGAAAGAAAGACTGATTAGAGTCTTTGGAATGAATGCGTGAGCGAGTAAACTAGAGCAGCTTTGGTCCCTTGCTCCTTCCCTGGCCCTGGTCCTGTGTGTGTGTCCCCCTCCCCTGCCCCACTACTCTCGCACCCCTCCCTGCAGTGGAAGGGGATGGTGTACAGGCCCCTGCTGGCCCCATTCTCAATCTACAGGTTTCGGCCCACAAGCGCCCCAGTTGCCTCCACCACCCTCCCAGCCCTGGGCAGCCCCGGGCCTTACTTGGAAGCCCTGGCCACGGACGAAGGGCATGGGGCCGAGCAGACTGCACTCCTGCAGTCCCCAGGAACTATAGATCTGCGTGTTCCGCACTACGGTGTTCTCGAGCAGCTGGGCGCACATGTGGAAGGCGATGTCATTCCCCGAGCGCAGGCTGATGTAGAAGCTGTAGGTGGGCGGCTCATGTGGATTTCCTCTGCCCTGGCTTTACTCCCCAGCCCCCCAGATCCCAGGGGTGCTGCTCCTCCCTGCATGGCCGGACTTACCTGTTAGAATTGTGTGGGACAATGCCTGAAATGAAGATGTTTTTGGACGGGGAGAGTCCTCCCGAGATGAGGGTGAAGTAAGGCATCGGCTGTCAGGGGAGAGGGACGCTCAGGGGCAGCCACTGGGGCAGGGAGCCCCTGTGTTCGAGCAGGAGCTCCGTGGCTCACTGGCAGTACTCAGAGGACCATACAGGATGCCATAGATCAAACCTGGGTCAGCTACATGCAAGGCTAGCACCCTCCCTGCTGTACTATCACTCTATCAGTGTGTTTTGAGAACCTTAGCTGGGAGCCAGGAGGCAGGACAGCAATAAGGACACAAGGCTAGTATTGCACTTGCCCTGGTACTTAGTGGGACCTCATGGACCCTGAGTATTGTCTGGTGCAGCCTGCAGGCCTGTGAGCACAGCTGGGAGAGGCTTTGGTGGCCCTCAACACCATATCCTCAGGCTTTGCATTGAATCAGCTCAGGAGAGAGGTGCCCAGATCTTCCGAGCATCACTTAGGAGCCCCTAGATTCAACGAAAGAATTTCTGAGAGCACTGGAGCAATAGTACAGTGGAAAGGGTGCTTGCCTTGTATGCAGCCAACCTGGGTTCAATGTCCTAAATGGTCCCTTGAGCCTGCCAGCAGTGATCCCTGAGTCCAGAGCCAGAATTCACCCTTGAGTACCACTGAGTACAGCTCAAAATACCAAGCAAACAACAACAAAAAGAACCTCAGTGGATTAAAGGGTTGTTTCAACTGTGTGATGGCCTTCATCTCCCCCAACCCAGCATAAGCGAAAACCCTGCTCATGCCCTCCAAGAAACCACTTACATAGACTGGGTTGGTGTCGGGGTATGCCAAAGCTGAAACGACGGAACTCTGTTAAAGAGATCAGAAGATTCAGGGGGAGTGAGCACACACAGGCGGGTGCATGCCTCGGCACCCCGGGAGCCCGCTCATTATCTTTTTAGTGTCAGCTCCATGGCCTACCCCAGCTCCCCACAGGCAGCCTCCCCTGAGCCCAGATGCCCCCTCTGTTTGCTCTGGTGGGAGGAAGAGATGCTCAATCCTGTGACCCACTGTAAGATCCTGGGGCTGCTCCTCAGAATGCAGGAAGGCAGTGGACATGGGGCCTGCCTTGGGGCTGGTGGGTAAGTCAGGCTGGCCCAGACCTCTGCCATCCCAAGGAAGGTGGGTGCTTAAGTAGCCTTAATCTGTGGCTCCAGCCCCAGGTGACCCCCTTCTCCTTGCTAAACTGCTTTCTTCCTTCTGCTCAGACAACACAAAACTCAGCGCTTTGTAATGGGAAGGTGGGCACATCTTTGGGACTCACCGGATACCTCTGGTTTGGGACGCTGCTTTCCTTGTGGATGATTACTTGATTTTAGAGAAAAGAAGCAATGGGCTCATCTTATTTATTTTGGGTCCACGCCCGTGGTACTCAGGACAACAGGTTTCAACCAAAAGTCACCTGGCTGGAGGGAGCACCACTAAACACAGTGCTCTGAAGCTGGGAGTCTACCGCCAAGCCGAGTCCCAAGCCATCCCTACGTGTTCTGGTGCGGGCATTTCTTTCCGGAAGCACCACGACTGTGCCTGAAACCTGTGTCACATGGCCCCACCTTCCTCTAGGCCTGGTCTCCCTTTATGGAGGAAGGCATGAGGGTCTCCTTCCTGGAAACAGCCCACAGCAGAGTGGAGACTTGAGCACACCAGGGGCGTCCATTCCAGCTGGTTCCTAGGGGCTTGGCCACTGCTCCCTGTGAGAGAGGCACATGGGCAGCCCTGCCTCCTTTTATTTTTTTTTTGCTTTTTGGGTCACACCTGGCAATGCACAGGAGTTATTCTTGGCTCTGCACTCAGGAATTACTCCTGGAAGTGCTCAGGGGACCATACGGGAAGCTGGGAATGGAACCCAAGTTGGCCATGTGCAAAGCAAATGCCCTACACACTGTGCTATCACTCGAGCCCCCTGCCTCCTCTTTCTAAGCCAAGGGAGAAGAAATCTGAAGAGATTCAAAGACACTTACCAAAGGAGGTGCACTGGCTGCCTTCTGCCAGGCTGGGTGCTATTGGAGAGGAGAGAGCATTAGTGAGGCGGGCACAGGGAGCTGCCTCAAAAATGAGGAGAAACGCCTCCCTCCCACACTGTTCTGTCCCCAGCAGCCCTTCCATGTGGGTGGTACCCAGGCCCTCCCCTGGGACACGCTGACTGTGAAGGGATGGTGGGGTCCCCACGGCTCCTCCTGAGGGAACAATGGCACCAGCCATCCTGTGTGCTCGGCAGAGGCCAACCTCCCTCCCAGAGCCATTGACTTCTGGAAGGTGGAGGCTGGCAGTGACTGAGGCCAGATTTGATTTCAGTGTGGCTCCTGGCAGCCTCCTGAGCATTGGCTGCATGCAGCCAGTGATGCGATCCCTGCTCTGACCATCTTGACCTGGCTGCTGGCAAGCACCTGGAGCCAGTGTACACGGTGCAGGCACCCGTCTGCACTGTGGCCGGCCAGGGAGGGCTGGGGAGAGACACCCCATCTGTCCCTCTGGCCCCCACTGCTGTCCCTTTCCTGTCCCCCACCTAAAGACTGGGAGGGCTGGTGCCACTTCCATGGGCTGACGCCAGTACAGTTGCCTCTGGGTGGGCTCCATGAAAATGAGCAAGCTCACGCTGGCCCAAGGCCCTGGGGAAGGTGGGAGTGGGGGTAGAAATGGGCATGAACAAGCTCATCCCACCCCATGGCCCTGGGAAAGGAGAAAATGGGGGTGGGGGTGGGAGTGGGCAGACACAGACACACAGTGATGACAGGACGTGGTGACTAGCACGAGGTCTGCAGGGACCTGGAGGTGGTTGGGGAACATCTGGCAGCAGGGGTAGCAGGGGTGCCAGCATGGGGAACTGATATTAGACAGAATGCTGAAGGGGGGGTGCAGATGGTATGGGGAGGGGCTCTCATCAAGGGACAGCATAGCCTGGGTGAGAGTAGGGCTCCTGTGGGTGCTGGGGGTGTGGGCGAGTTTAGAAGCGTGTGGATCCTTGAATCGGGACAGGGGGCTTGGCAGTAGGTTCCCATGGCTGGGGAGCCCCTCCTGGTGTCTGGAGCTGAGAATAGTTCCTAGGGGGTGCTGGACTTGGGAGGGGGGCATCCAGGCTCAGTGCTGGGAGGGCACCAGGAGGCCTACAGCCTCTAGGGGCTCTATCCTAACTGCGTGTTGGTCCCCCAGGCTCCATATTGCACTCACTCATGGTCTGTGCCCCTTGAGCTTGGGCAAGCCACATGGACGCTGGAGAACTGTGCCTGGGAGAAGGCCTGGGGGGATTCTTTCAAGACAAAAGCAGCACAGTGAGGAAGAGGCATGACGGAGTGAGGGCACATCCGGGAGCAGAGGCGGGCAAGGGCAAGGGCACCTGGCAGGCAAGGGCAGAGGGCACACAGTGGGTGAGTGCAGAGGTCAGAGGGCACACGATGACATGAGCAGGGTCTCCTCTGGTAGCTGCTGGACAGAGGCAGCAGGTTTAGACAGGCGGGAAAGTGGGATGGAGGCGCCCCCATGCCTGACTGCTGAGAGGCTTCAGGTGCGTCTGTCTTGGGAACAGTTTCAGTGCTGTTCCCTGTGTCCTGTGGCAATGGGGGCCCAGCACACCCTCATACCCCACAAAATGCAAGAAATCCAGTTCAGATGGGGTGGTCTCCTGCCTGTCTCTCTCTCTCTCTCTCTCTCTCTCTCTCTCTCTCTCTCTCTCTCTCCCCTATTTTTATCTCTCCCTCCCACACTTTTTTCTTTTTGGGACTACACCTGGTTGTGCTCAGGAATCACTCGGGGGACCAGATGGGGGTGCTGAGGATTGGTCCTAGGTTGGCGTGTACAACGCAAGCACCTTAATCTCTGTACTATCTCTCTGACCCCTTCTGCCCCCTTTCTAGAAAAAAGAAAACCACTGACATCCCCCTGAAATGTACAGGGCACACACACAGGAAGTGCCCCCTGATTGCACTGAGGGCTCTCCCGACACCCATGCGTCCTTTTGATGCTCCGCCCCTACCATTAGCCACATTGTGGAAGTGGCCTGAGGTTTCCCAGTGATGGGAGTGGAGGGCTGGGGTGTCTGATGCACCGTCCTAGGCTCTCTGGACTCGTCAGCCTCCTGGCTGCACTGGAATAAGTGAGATCAGAGAGAGAGAGAGAGAGAGAGAGAGAGAGAGAGAGACAGACAGACAGAGAGAGAGAGAGAGAGAGAGAGAGAGAGAGAGAGAGAGAGAGAACGCCTGGGATCCAGGGACAAGCCACAGGGAGGAGATGGGGAGCTTGAGGCGTGACCCCAAGGTCGTGGATGTCAGAGCAGCCTTACTTCGAAGTTGATATAGGACAGTTGCACGCAGCCGGCCACAGCGATGGTGTCAACGAGGTGGAAGGGCACGCGGTGTGAGTACTGGTTGAAGAAGTTTCCATCCACATTCACCTGCGGGTGAGTGCCAAATGCTGGAGACAGAACCCAGGCTACAGTGGGGGCAGCTCTGGGCTCCCGGACCCTTGCTTCTAGGAGTGATCACATGCCTCTGCTTTCTACATGGCTGGTGGCATCCTGCACTCTAGGATCACTCCTGGGGCTGGACCCCATTTCTTGCTCCAGTGGTACATTAAGAGGGGAATGGCGGGGGTGGGGGGGGGGGCGTGATAGCACAGCGGATAGGCATTTGCCTTACTTACACAACCTGACCCAGGTTCAATCCCTGGCACCCGATATGGTGCCCAAGTCAGCAATGAGTGATTGCTGAGTTCAGAGCCAGGAGTAAACCCTGGGCACTGCCAGGTGTGGCCCCCAAACCAAAAACTTAAAAACTAAATATGTACATTTAAATATAAACAGAGACCTCTAGAGGGCCCAGCAGGGGGCTGGTGCAGACCCACTCTCCCATGCTCCTGCATATCCAGGCCACTGCATGATGCTCATTGCAAAAGTGTCTTGTTGGTTGGTTTTAGTTTAGGGGTCACACCCCGTGGTGGACAGGGATAATACCTGGCTCTGTGTTCAGGGATCACTCCTGCAGTGCGTGGGGGACCTCTGCAGTGCAAGGGATTGCTCCCAGGTCAGCCACCTGCAAGGTGAGTGCTATCTCTCCAGGGCTTGGCTTGTGACCCTGAGCATGTGTGGGGCCCAGATGAGACTGCAATAATGGATGTGCAGTAGATGTGGATGTGTTTCCATAGAGCAGGAGGGCAGACCTGACGTAGCAAAGCGGTGTGGTAAACAGGCATTTTTACTTTGGAGGCCCCCAAAGCAATGTGCCAACTATGAAGCTTTCATTTTTTAAGCCAAAACAACCATCAAGGGCCAAACAGATATTACAGCGGGGAGGGCACTTACCTTGCATGTGGCTGACTAAGGTTCAACCTTGGCACCCTATATGGTCCTCTGAGCCCCAACAGGAGTGATCCTTGAGCACAGAGCCAGCAGTAAGGCCTGAGTAACATGAAGGTGGCCCCAAAATCAAACAAACAAGCATCTTTTGTGCCTGCAAATGTCAGTTAAGGTTTATAAAAAAAAATTTTTTTTAAAAACCCTGTAGGACCCCACCCCTACTCCACAAGGAAATGGTTCCTTCTTGGACCAACAAAAGGAGCACAACCCTAACAGGAGGAAGGAAATAATAAAACTCAGAGCAGAGTATAACGAGATGGAAACCCAGAAAACAATCCGAAAGATCAATGAAACCAAGAGCTGGTTCTTTGGGAAAATTAACAAAATCGATAAGCCCCTAGCAAAACTCACAAAGAAAGGGAGAGAGAAAACCCTAATAAACCGAATCAGAAATGAAAAGGGGGTCATTACAACAGAAACCACAGAAATTCAAAGGATCCTCAGGGAGTACTTTGAAAAGCTTTATGCCACAGAACATCAAAACCTCGAGGAAATGGATAAATTCCTAGACTCCTACAGACTCCCAAGGCTGAACCAAGAAGACCTGGAATACCTGAACAGACCTATCACCATCAAGGAAATTGAAATGGTAATAAAAAGTCTCCCCAAGCACAAAAGCCCTGGCCCGGATGGATTCACCAGTGAATTCTTCCAAATCTTTAAAGAAGACTTACTCCCAATCCTCTTTAAGCTTTTCCATGAAATTGAAATATCAAACACACTTCCGAACAGCTTCTATGAAGCAAATATCACACTGATACCAAAAGCAGACAGAGATAACACAAAGAAAGAGAACTACAGGCCGATATCCCTGATGAACACAGATGCAAAGATCCTCAACAAACTACTAGCAAATAGAATCCAACTACTCATCAAAAAGATCATACACCATGACCAAGTAGGATTCATCCCAGGGATGCAAGGATGGTTCAACATTCGGAAATCAATCAACATAATCCATCATATCAACAAAAGAAAAGATAAAAAGCATATGATCATATCAATAGATGCAGAGAAAGCATTTGACAAGATCCAGCACCCCTTTATGATGAAAACCCTAGCCAAAATGGGCATAGAGGGGACTTTCCTCAACATAGTTAAAGCCATCTACCACAAGCCTACAGCAAGCATCATCCTCAATGGGGAAAAACTGAGAGCCTTCCCTCTAAGATCAGGGACGAGACAAGGATGCCCACTCTCTCCACTGCTGTTCAATATAGTACTGGAAGTACTTGCAATAGCAATTAGGCAAGAAAAAGACATTAAGGGCATTCAGGTAGGAAAGGAAGAAATAAAGCTCTCACTATTCGCAGATGATATGATACTATACTTAGAGAACCCAATAACCTCCACCAAAAAACTCCTAGAAACAATAGACTTGTATAGTAAAGTTGCAGGTTATAAAATCAATACCCAAAAGTCCATGGCTTTCCTATATGCAAACAGTGAGAGAGAGGAAAGCTACATGAAAAAATCAATCCCGTTCACAATTGTGCCCCAGAAAATTAAGTACCTAGGAATCAGCCTAACTAAGGAAGTAAAGGACCTGTACAAAGAAAACTACAAAACGCTACTTCAGGAAATAAAAGAGGACATGAGGAAATGGAAAGACATCCCCTGCTCATGGGTCGGAAGACTGAACATTGTCAAAATGGCAATACTACCGAAAGCACTGTACAAATTCAATGCAATCCCTATAAGGATACCCATGACGTTCTTCAAAGAAATGGAGAAAACACTCCTGAAATTTATATGGAACAATAAACCCCCACGAATAGCTAAAGCAATTCTGGGGAAAAAGAAAATGGGTGGAATCAACCTCCCGAACTTCAAACTTTACTACAAAGCGGTAATAATCAAAACAGCATGGTACTGGAACAAAGGCAGAACTACAGACCAATGGAACAGAGTTGAATACACTGACATCACCCCCCAATCATATGATCATCTAATCTTTGATAAAGGTGCAAGAAATGTGAAGTGGAGTAAGGAAAGCCTCTTTAACAAATTGTGCTGGCATCACTGGACGGCTACATGCAAAAAAATGGGCTCAGAACTCTGCCTAACACCATGTACAAAGGTAAGATCAAAATGGATTAAAGACCTCAACATCAGACCAGAAACCATAAGATACATTGAAGACAAAGTTGGCAAAACCCTCCATGACATTGAGGCTAATGGTATGTTCAAAGATGACACGCCACTGGCTGAGCAAGTGAAAACAGAGATAGATAAATGGGACTATCTTAAACTAAGAAGCTTCTGTACCTCCAAAGAAACAGTGACCAAAATACAAAGACGGCCTACAGAATGGGAAAGAATATTCGCCGAATACACATCTGACAAGGGATTGATATCAAGGATATACAAAATACTGGTTGAACTCCACAAGAAGAAAACATCCAACCCCATCAAAAAATGGGGCAATGAAATGAACAGAAACTTTCTCAAAGAAGAAATCCGAATGGCAAAAAAGCACATGAGAAAATGCTCTACATCATTAATCATCAGGGAGATGCAGATCAAAACCACAATGAGATACCATCTCACACCTCAGAGACTGGCCCACATTCAAAAGAACAAAAGCAACCGTTGCTGGCGCGGATGTGGCGAGAAAGGGACACTCCTTCACTGTTGGTGGGAATGTCCACTGGTTCAGCCCTTCTGGAAAACAGTATGGACGTTCCTCAAAAAATTGGAAATTGAGCTCCCATTTGACCCAGCAATACCACTCCTGGGAATATATCCCAGAGAGGCAAAAACGTGTAGCCGAAGTGACATCTGCACTTGTTTGTTCATTGCAGCACTCTTTACAGTAGCCAGAAACTGGAAGAGACCTGAGTGCCCAAGAACAGATGACTGGTTAAAGAAACTTTGGTACATCTACACAATGGAGTACTATGTGGCTCTTAGAAAAAATGAAGTCATGAACTTTACATACAAGTGGTACAATATGGAAAGTATCATGCTAAGCGAAATGAGTCAGAAAGAGAGGGATAGACATAGAAAGATAGCATTCATCTGGGGGATATAAAATAATAAAATATGAGATTAATACCCAAGAATAGCTGAGAGCAACACCAGGAGAATTACTCCATAACTTAGAGGCCAGCTGGGTATTCTAGGGGAAAGGACAATTCAGATAGAAAGGGGAACACCAAGTGGAGGGTGTTTGGAGGATCCTCCCAGGAGGGGAGATGCAGGTTGAAAGTAGACTGGGCTGAACATGTTCGCCACTCAATGCCTCTTTGGCTGATCACAGCGCCCAGGAGGAGAGAGAGAACAGGGGGGAATGCCCTGCCACAGTGGCAGGGGGGGATGGGGGGATGGGAGGATGGGGGGGGAGGGATATTATCCTGGTGGTGGAAAATGGGCACTGGTGGAGGGATGGGTATTTGATCGGGGTATGACCGAGATCCAAGCACAAAAATTTGTAAATCTACAACTGTACCTCATGTCGTTTCACTAATAAAAAAGAAAAAAAAAAATAAAAAAAAAAAGAAAAAAAAAAAAGAAATGGTTCCTTCTTCAGGAAGACGTTGCTGAGCAGTGGATGGTTTGGGATGGGTCATCTTTGGTGGCAGGGGGCTGGGAGGGCAAGCGGGAAGCAGGGAGAGCATCCTACTCACAGTGAAACTTGCGCTCCGTACCAGGATGCACAGCTCAAAGGTATTCCCCTTCCTGAAGGGCATACGCCTCTCCCTCTCCTCAGGCCCCCAGCAGCCATTCTGCTTCGTGTTGCAGACCACAAGACCTTCATTAAAGCGAGGGTTGAAGTGGAAAGCCACGTCATTGCCGCTGCCGCCATTCTGAAGGTTCACGTGGAACCTGGGACAGAAGACGTTAGTGAGAGCTGAGGAACAGCAAGTACGGAACAAGGAAGCCCCGCACCATCTAGTTCTGCCTGGAGACTTGCAGGTGACCTTCCTAACCCACTCATTTGTCCTCTAGATTTGCACAGAGGGTTTTTATGCAAACTCTGAACTGTGCCCTTCCGATGTCATTTTCTCAAACTATGTGGAAATTGGGTAATGAAAAATGTAGATACCAGCAACAAGAAACACAGTTCGGAGGTGGCCACGTTCAGGACAATGCCCAGCCTGCTGTCCTGTCACTCCAGCCCCATGAAACACAGGTCTCAAGAACTAATGACAGAATGTGACTCTTGGAGCGGAGAATCCACGGCCCCTTGGAAGGTGGGGTGCTGCCTTGAATTTCTTGGGGACCTCTCCCCTCTGTGCCCCCTACCCAGCTTCACTGGGCTGAGACAAGCTCAGTCTCTTGGGTAGGAGGGGACTGAAAAGCAATCCTGGCGATGGGGCTGAGGACAGAGGAAGAGAGTGGAAGGGGGTAAAATTCCAAGTGGGCTGGGTCTCTCCAGCTGGCTGGTCTAGGGGAGTCCACAGGCCTCGCTTCCTTCTGCATTTCCTGGGGGCTATGTGGGATTCTCGGTAAGGTCCCACAGCAAACCACCTGGTAGGAAAGGCTAGGAGCAAGATAGCGGTCTAAAAGCAAGATGTGAGTTGTGCTAGGCCTAAGCCAGGGAACGGTGTGAAGGGATCTAGAAAGTTCCAGACCCTGTGCTATAGGATTGCAGTAGTAGTGGCGGGGCAGGGGCGGGAGGAGGGGGGCAGGGGGTGGAGATGGGCAGGATTGGTGGGGTGACAAAGTCAGATGGGCTAAGAGAGGGGTCCAAATGCATGGAGGTGTTTCAGGCTCCGCAGGCTTCAGCAATCAGCACAATGGTGAAATCCCGAAACCCACAAGATTCAAACCCACATCCCTTTTCACGGATCTCAGCCCAGGTTAGTCTTACTGGGCCTAAGAGTGTTGGCAGGTCCTGAGAAGGTTCCTGTCTGAGCCCTCAGCTCTTCAGGATGGCGGGGAGGTGGGAATGGAGGGAGTGATGGGAAACATTTATGTTTTGTTTGTGATGGGCTGGTTTGGATTGCTTTGGGGGCCAGACATGGTGGTGCTCAGGGGTCCTGGCTCTGCACTCAGTGGTCACTCCTGGAAGACTTGGGGAAGCATATATGGTCCCGGGGATTGAACCTGGGCCGGCTGCATGCAAGGCATGTCTTCTACTTGCTGTACTGCCTCTGAGAGATAGACAAGCAATGGCAGCACCATGACAAGCTCAAAAAAGGAGCTAGAAGCTAGGCCTACGTTTCGGTTCCAGAATTCCTGAAATTGAATGCAGAGTCCTGTAATTGAATCATGATTTTCCTGAAGCGAGGTTGCCATGGGTGAGTTCGACTAAAGTTACCAATCAGATGCAGGTAGAAATCACAATCATGATCACAATCGTCCTGTTGTTTGTCGATAGCCTCGAGCAGGCACCAGTAACGTCTCCTTCTTCCTAGCCCTGAGATTTTCAAGAGCCATATTCAATGCTCTTTCAGAACTAGGAGAATGAGACCTATCATTGTTACTGGTACTTGGCATATTGAGTACGACACGGGAAATTTGCCAGACTCTGCAGTGTGGGCTGGATACTCTCAGTAGCCTGCCGGGTTCTCCAAAGTAAAAATGAGATAATAAGATGTCAGCTGTGCACTTCCGGGTGCTGGGTTTTATAGTCGCTGGGTCTTGGCTGTTGATGGGACCACCTGGGTGCCAGCAGCAGCTGGTGGGTGTAACGCCTACCTACTGGAAGATGGGGGATCTGGGTGAAGAAGGCCCAGTCCTGATTCAAGCAGGCTTGGAGATCTCAGCCCCGGCACCCGCATGCCTGGGTTCTTCTGCCGGTTCCTTAATGCATGAGCCTTGATCTGATGTTTGGAGAGTGGTCTCAGCATGGCTGTGGCTGGTTCTGGAGGTCTTCGGCTGCCGGGGCTCTGCTCGGGGCAGGGAGGGAAACTCAATCCGCCCCCTCCAAGGGGCCCCAGTGAGGACAGCCAGGCACAGGGGCAGGAGACTCTACACTGTTCTCTTCCGGGAACTGGGTTTTATAGTCTCTGGGTCTTGGCCATTGATGGGACCACCTGGCACCAGCAGCAGCTGGTGGGTGTAACGCCTACCTACTGGAAGATGGGGGATCTGGGTGGAGAAGGCCCAGTCCCGATCCAAGCAGGCTTGGAGATCTCAGCCCCGGCACCCGCATGCCTGGGTTCTTCTGCCAGTTCCTTCATGCATGAAGCTTGTCCTGATGTGTGGAGTGTGGCCTCAGCATGGCTGTGGCTGGTTCTAAAGGTCTTCAGCTGCCGTGGCTCTGCTTGGGTAGAAAAGCCGCACTATATAACCCTTACGTAATCTTTATGTAAGTCCGCCTGATCAACTAAGTACAAATAGTGAAAAGTACTTAGCCAAGTACAAATAGTGGAAAGCCCCTCAGACTGCAGCCAAAAGGGTGGTCTGAAAAAAGTTCCTGGGTTTGGTATAAAAACCCCTCATTGTTGAGACTCAGGGCTGGCCGCTCGTTCTGAGAAGGCTGTTGCTGTGTTGGTGGGTTGGACAGAGGCCCTAGCTTGAGCGAGCCAATAAAGACCTCTTGCTTATTGCTTTCCAACCTGTCTTTGTGTGACTCCTTCGGTGGGATCTCGGCCCATTCTAACACCTCCCCAGCCCTAAGTGTTTATACATTGAATTCACTTACATTTTCCAAAAAAAGATCTTGAAACCAAAAGAGACCAGTGAGCAAAGTTCAACCCTCCAGCATTTTCATCTGCCCCTGGGCAGACACAGTCTAAGCCCCCCCCCCCTCCTTAGACTGTGTCAGCCTAATGGCCAAGAGGTGTCTACGGGAGCAGTGCCCCCACACTGTTGATAGATGGCATTGGTGCCAGTCATGTTGGCAGGGGTGAGGCAGCCCCTCTGTCAGATGGTGCTGGGTAGGTGAGGTGAGCTGAAAGGGGGTGAGGGTTGCTGAGGGAAGAGAATGGAGAGAACCCCAGGTCCCAGGTACCTGTTTTCTCCATAGACATTAAGAACATATCCGGCGATGGTGATTTTCAGGCCATCTTGGAGCCCACCTTGGATGAAGCCTTGGAAGGGGACAGCCTGCAGGGGAGAGGCAGGTCAGTCTGTGGGCTCACGTCCCTCCTCCTCCTACAACATCCACCTGTGTGCTCCAGTGGGCTGGCCTGGAGCACACAGCTGTAGCTGTGAATAGGAGAGGGGCTGTCTCAGCCCCCCTGTGTCTTCCTGGCCTAGGAAGAGGATGTGACTCCTGAGAGTGCAGAGGGCACTAGATGGAGGATTATGTGCGTGTATGTGTGTGAGTGTGTGTGTGTGCGAATGTGTGTGTGTGAGAGAGTGTGTGACTGTGTGTATGTGTATGTGTGTATGTGTGTGCGTGCATGTGGTTGAGAGTTCAAACTCCAAATGACCTCCACCTTCAAGGACCATCCTCAGGATCAAAGCCACCATAGCAGCATGCAAAGCTCCCTGAGCACCACCAGGGGTGACTCTTGGGCACAGAGGCAGGAGTAAGCCCTGAGTACTTCTGGGTACAGTCAAAGAGGGAATGAAAAAGAAAGAAAGAAAGAAAGAAAGAAAGAAAGAAAGAAAGAAAGAAAGAAAGAAAGAGAAAGAGAGAGGAAGGAAGGGAGGAAGGGAGGGAGAGAGGAAAAGAGGGATGGAGGGAGGGAAGGAGGGAGGAGGGAAGGAAGATAGGAAAGAAAAAGAAATATAAAAATACAGAAATATAGACCAGAGATCAGAGGGTACACTGGGGTCCCATCTATTAAAAGGTGTCGCAGCTCAAAGTCTCACAGCCCGAGCTCCCAGCTGCCTCTGGGAGGGGAGCTGAGGGCACACACAGAGCCCTCAGGCCTGGCCAGAGCCCCGCATAGGGTCCCGTGTGCTGGCCCCCCAGCTCCCGAATATCTACCATCCCCACTCAGAAGAGGCGCCTGGGATAGTCCCAGGTCCAGTCTCATGAACCTGGAAACCTGCGGGGCAGCCTGCCTGTCACTGCTCTCTGCGGGCAACCCCGTCCTTGGGACGCCTCAAGACCACCCTCCCCCTGCCACTTCCACCTGAGAACACGTGGCAGTGGCCTCTCCCTGTGGGTCCCACCTGGGAAGGGCCCACAGCCACCAGGATTGGCACAAGGTCATCGCAGACACACTGACACGGGGTAGAATGTGCATGGACCCCACGGCTCTCCCTCAACCCACAGACCCTCACAGACCCAGGCCCCAGAGCAGACACCACCTAGGGGTCTGTCCCGCTGCCCCAGACCCCTCACTGTCTGCACCCCAGAGCTGGCAGGCACCCTCAGGCACTCCCACAGTGCCACCAGCTTAGCCAAACCCCAGCGGGCAGGTGGTTGCAGGACCCGTTCCGTTGGACAGCTGTGAGGACTCAGGCCCAGAGGAGGCAAAAGTTACCTGTTGATAGACACCAGCAGGTCAATGGCGGAACAGCCTCAGAGTGCCCCCCCAACCCCCACAGCTGTGTTGGTTGTGGCCTCTGCAGAAGCCCTGATCACGCCTTCAGACAAACCAAGTGCCACTCATCTACTGGTCCCAGCCCCAGCCCAGCAACCCGAGCAGGACGGACATGCAGACACCACAGGCTCCGGGTTCAGTCTCTGCCTGGCGAGGCTACAGCAGATGTGGCTTGACTGCCCACCTGACTTTTCTACCCTCCGCCGTCTCTTTGGGGTGTCCCTGTCATCCCACCCATGGGAGCTATCCAGGAGTAGGTTTTCAGTGCCCCGGAGCTGCTTCCCCTCCCCCACCGCCCAGCACAGTGCGGCCACTCACTGGACTCAGGTAAGGAAACTGCATCGCACCGCTGGCCATAGATCCTGTTCCTCAGCGTCAGGCTCTGCACTTTGCTGCTCCTCACTGCTTCTCAGAGAGGACTGAGCTGAAATTTGAAACCTAAGCCACTTGGCTGCTGTCCAAAGGGGAGGAGCCAGGGGCTGGAGGTAGTGGGTGCTGCAAAGTGGTGGAGTGGGATTCTGGGGGAGGGGAGCAACATCTCACCCCGGTGACCTTCCCCTGTTCTCCTTCTGGGCTCTACCCAGGAGTCCACTGCTGGGAGTTCAAAGCCCTTGATGGCACCGACAGTGGGACAGCACGTTTCCAGCTTCTGTTACTCTCCTGTCTCCTGAGCTTGCTGGGTCAGAGTCCAGAACACAGTGGGCCTGCTTGGAAGAGTGGGTGTTTGGGCACCACCTGTGCTGAGGGCGGGGGTCACTGGCTGTATGCCCTGACTCTATTCCTTTCCCAATGCAGAGACACAAACGGAGGCCCAGGGAGCCTGGTCAGGGGGGAATGGGTGGGAGCCAGATAAGGCCCTGAGTTTCAAGCAGGAGGCCCCAGGTATGTAAGTATGATCCCCAGGAATGCCCCACTGGATCCCGTCCCGGCAACTGATGTTGGGGATCTCGGGGGCCACAACATGGTGTGTGGGCTCGGACGCAAGGCAACGGTGACTTGGAAGGTTCCTCTGTCCCTCGCGAGCTGGATGGCCAAGACATACAGCGACAGGTGGGAGAAAGTCACACTGGAAACACAGACAGGCTAGAAGTCATGGGCAGTCCTCAAAGGGAGCATCCATGGCTGCATGCAGGGGGCTGTAGGGGATGAAGAGGGGAGGGGCTGCAGACTGCTGGGTGCAGAACAGTGAAATCTCCTGGAAGCTGAGATCAGAAATCTCCTGATGCAGACTAATCTTATCTGCAGAGCTGCTGTAATTGAGCTTTGGGGAAAGTCTAACTACAGAAGAGAAACGAAACTAGAAAAAGACTGGGCAAGGAGGCAGAGGGCGGTGATTCCAGGCAGGAGATAAGAACGGAACGGGGTGGCACCAGAGGGCTGGACTGTGAGCATCACCTCTGTATGCCGCCTCACCTCCCACATCATCTGCTGCCTGATTCACTCAAAGCCCTGCACTATCAGAAGCTCCTATACCATACCTGCAAGGCTCCTGGAATGGGCTTTGGGTTTGGAGTAGGGCACAGTACCAAAGCAGTCAATGTGGACAACAGGACTCAGGAGAGCGGGCATGCCTGATTCCTGGCATGACAGTTTCTTTTGTGTTCCAAATGTGTTCCCTGGAAGCCAGAGGTGGGCCAGAAGTCACTGCAGAGCCATCTGCAGGCCACTTCCAGTCTGCAAATGTGTTTGCTTGTCAGAGACATGTTTGAGAAATAAGAGCCGAGCCAGTTATGGGAGCTGGAATGAAAACCAGAATTCTAGGGTCTTGAGAGCTAGTACAGACAGTGAGTTGCTTGCCTTGTAAGCACCACCCCAGGTTTGGTCCCCAGAGCACCATCAGGAGTGATGCCTGAGCAGAGTCAAGAGAAAGCTCTGAGCACTGCTGGGTGTAGTCCAATGTCCTCCCTGCAATATTTCTTTCTCTTTATTTAAACCGTGTTCTACAAAGTTGTTCATAATACAGTTGTTATGGGCATTCAATATTCTAACACCAACCCTGCCAACAGCACAGCCTTCCCTCCACTATTGGCCCCATTTCCACAACCACCCCCCAAGCGTGCCCTTTTAGGCACACAACAATTTTTTAATAATATTTTAAAAAATAATTTTGAATTAAATATCCATGATATAGACCATTACAAAGCTCTTCATGACTGGGTTTCAGAAATACAATGATCCAATGCCCATCTATCCACCAGTGTACATTTCCCACCACCAATGACCCCATTTCCCTCCCAACAGCCCCCATTACCCCCTCCCCCGGTCTGCTCTATGGAGAGGCATTTTTCTTCTTTTGCTTGCTCTCTCTCTCTCTCTCTCTCTCTCTCCTTTTGTGTGTTATGGTTTGCAATATAGATAAGATATCATCATAATTGTTCAGAGTGTTTAGTATTTTTATAGGGCAGGTAGGGCTGGGTGGCGGCTCTGGGGTGTGGACATGACTGCTGAGGCTCTGGATGTATAGGGAGGTGGGGGGAGGTAGCCCACCCCAACCCTGAGGAAACCTGGAGATTTTAGTCACAAAAAAAAACATACTCCTGGAGCTGGAATGATAGCACAGTGGGCAGGGCATTTGCCTTGCATGCAGCCCGACCCAGGTTCGATTCCCAGCATCCCATATGATAGGAGTAATTCCTGAGTTGATGAACCAGGAATAACCCCTGTGCATTGCTGGGTGTGACCCAAAAAGCAAATAAATAAATAATATATCTTTAAACACAAAACAAAGCACATACCTAAGTTTTTGGCAGATTAATGTATCCTGGTGAGATCTGGCCTGAGACAGTGGAGTCTGTTTAGGGTTATTGGTGGTTATTTTTTATTGTGGAAGTAAGTGACTATTAGGGGCTCTGCTTCCCATAGGCACCAGGCTGCCCCCACTCTTCGATTTACGCCTGTTCAACCTTCTGTGGGTCTGAGATTAACTGTGGCTTTTGATGTCTTTTGAAATTTACGAATCTCTTAAGCAAGGCTGATAAATGAGCTTTGGATGGCTGAGCTTTTGTGGGTGTGGCTCCCACTTACATTTTGGCTGTTGACATTCTTGGAAAACTTGCTTGCAAGTTGTTGGGGTCTGGCCAGAGGCATAGCGGCAATTTGAAGTCACCATCAAGCTGCTGATGCACTCGCCCCACAGGTACAGGTTCACATCCTGGTGGCACCACACGCCGGCACAATATAATTTACCTTATATTGCTTGCTACAACTAAATGGATAATGTAATTATCAAAAATCACTTTAGCAAAAGAAAATTTGTGAAAATTGTTATATTTCATTAAGTCTTTGTCTTAGAGTTTACTAAACTCTTGTTGCTAGTTGGGTCTTCTGCATTTTTTGTTTATTGAGCTCAGTTGATGTCTTTGCAACTTTCGCACCAAAATTGGTATGCTCCTACTGGGCTGTGGGTATTGTGGAATTTGGAGGTATTGTGTGGCTGCACACGTGGCCGCATGCTCCAGAAACTCCAGGAGCTCTAAAACTGGGCCAATGGGTTTATATCGTGGCAGCTGTGGGATGTGGGTGTGGCTTCCAGGGCTTCTGGAAGTACAGAGGTCTTGGGGGAAGCTGCCCACCCTAGGAGGTTGGGGGGAGGCTTCCCACTCGAAGGAGACTCCGGAGATCTAGCCTGAAATCCTGTGTACCTGTAATTTTAGTCACTTTGGTGTCTCTGTATGGATTAGTTGTGAAGCAGTGGAATTGGGCCATTAACATGGTGTCAGCGGTGAGATGTGGGTGTGGGAGCAGGGACTTCATCAGGGCATACCCCACAATAATTTTTAATTTTTTTTAAAGAAAGAATGCCCAGACTTCTAACTTCTTTCCATCAAACAGTAAAAGACGAAAAACAACAACAACAACAACAAACAACAACAACAACACCAGTCCTGAAACCCAGTCTCATCCAAGAAGGCAACAATCCACCAGCTCTGATCAGCAGTCTCATGGGCCAGTCCAGTGAACCTCACTCCTCCCCATTCCCTGATGTCTGAGTTCAGGAGTAAGTAGACATTGTGCTTTTCTTTATTTCTATTTCTTGTTAGTGGGAAGGGGAGCTGGGCCACACTCAGTGTGCTCAGGACATATTCTTGGATCTCCGCAGGGTCACTCCTGGTGCTGCTCAGAGGTGCTGGGGATCAAGCTTAGATCAGCCACATGCAAGACAAGCACCATACCCACTGTACTATCTTTCCCCACCTCCTTCATCTTTTTTGTTTAGTTTTGATTTGAGGGTCACCCCAGGCAGTGCCTTACTCATGGCTCTGTGCTCAGGTAGCATTCCTGATGGGGTTCAGGGACTGTATATGGTGCTGATGATTAAACCGAGGGGCTAGCCACATGCAAGGCAAGCACTCACACTCCAGCCCCAAACGGTTTCATCTTCATCTTTTCTGATAGCTCAGTACACACACACACACACACACACACACACACACACACACACACAGCCCGTAGTTTCTCTTTCTATTCATGTTGCTGGTCATTTGAGTTCTTTCCAATTGTTGACTATTATAAATAAGCCACAGTGAGTTTAAGTGTGCATAACTATTTAATAATTTATTTATTTTTGGTTTGGTGGTCACACCCAGCAGTGCTCAGGGTCTACTCTGAGCTAAGTTCTCAGGGGTAACTCCTGGAAGTACTAAGAAAAACACCTGGTGCAAGGAATAAAACCCACCCAGAACTCTGGTATACAAAGAATGAGCTCCAGACCACTGAGTTCACTCTCTGGCTCTGCACATATCTTTTATTTCTTCTCTGAGGGGAATACACCCAGCAGTGCTCAGGGCTTACTCCTTGTTCTGATGCAGGAATCACTTCTGACAGTGCTCAGGGGAAGCCAGGTTGACCTCAAGCAAGGCAAGTGCCCCATCCACAGTACTATCACGCTGGTTCCAGATGTCTTGAGTTTTAGTGTTTTTTTTCCACAGGAAGCCAGGACTGAGACCCCCTTGGGAGATTAGGACCTGCTATTAGCATAGACTCTCTCAACAAGTCCTTTATCAACACAAGCTCTGGAAAAGAGCCTATGTGGTGTTTAAACCAATCTTGGGAGGTTCTTGTTTGCAGTTTTAATCTTGCTCTGCATGCATATTCAAGATAAATTGGCAGGAAAACTTGGTGTAATTATCTCTTAGGTTTATTGAGTCTTTTTTGAATATTAAATTCTACTATTGTTCATGATTTTCGAGGTTTACTTTCAATATGTAAAATAACCTGGCTCGTGTGTGTGTGTGTGTGTGTGTGTGTGTGTGTGTGTGTGTGTGTGTTGGTCAAACTCTACGGTGCTCAAGGGCTACTCAGTTCAATGCTCAGGGTTCACACAGCAGTGATCAGGGCACCATGAAGTTCTAGAACTG